CAGGTGAGGGTGGTGAGGCCTAATCGGTGGGTGATTTTGGAGGAGGCTGGGGAGAGTGGGGAGAATGGGGAGGATGGGGGTGGTGGTGGTGGTGGTGGTGGTGGTGATGGTGGGGAAGAGGGAGGGGGGAAGACGGAGGAGACGAAGGTGTTGGATGTGGATGATAGTGCGAAGGATGCTGCCCTGGCTGTGAAGGTGGTGTGAAAGCGGGTTGCCTTGAGGGTAGAGGATTGGTGAGATGGGCATTGGGCGCTGGAATGGAAGATATTGGGCGGGTAGGTAGATGGCTGGGCACTTCGCTCGGTCTGTTTGGTTGACCAATGTGCAGATGGGAGAGTGCTATTAGAGCTCCGTGAGCCGCCCATTCATCCGAACTTCAATAGGAGTATGAGTTGATTTGCACTCGTTTTCATTTGTAATGGGGTACCAGTACCAAAGGGACGCCTACACATACACGAACAGCCCATTCACATCCATATCTTAACCATAGTTTTCATACTCGAGGTGAGTAAGCAAAGCTTGAAAGGGGCCCAGCCCCATGGCATCGCCCCCGAATCCATTCCGCTAAGTTATTACCCATGACATATATATAACCACCCTTTTCGCAACCCACCTCGCCGTTAACGCCCTACGCCCACAAAACAGTACCCCCAATTCCCAGATAACCCCGAAGGACACCTAAAACCTCTCCAACAGCGACCCGACCTTCCTCTGCTCGTCCATCTCCACACCCTCCATCCCTTCCCCGCCATCCGAGAAAAGACTCCCCACACTCAACTCCCTCGCCGGCGGCCCCTGTTCCTTTAACTGCCCAACCCTGCCTCCCACCCTCGCAAGAAGCATCCTCATACGGTGCAGCTCGGCCTCAACCTCCCCGTTTCGCGTAACCAAATTCTCCTGCACCCCATCCAGCCGCCCACCATCACCATCACCACCACCATCACCATCGGGATTACTAGCCGCAAACGGCTGCAGCAGAGCCCGCATCCACCGCAGCCGCGCCACCCGCGCAGCCGCCTGCCGCTGCCTTTTCGCGAGGGCATGCAGCTCGCCCGCCAGCTCAGCGTAGCGGCGCGCCTCGAGCGGCCGCGACGCCGCGTCCGCCCCCTCCCATTCCAGCGGCAGCGTCGCGATCACGCCCGGATCCGCCAGATCAGCACCCACCCTCAACGCCGCATCCCGCTGCACCGGTGCCCTGCCATCATCATCATCATCATCCCCCACCCCTACTTCTACCCCCTCCACTCCAACCTCCTCCTCCTCATCATCCTCCTCGTCCGCGGCGGCAGCAGCCTCCGCGGCGTTCAAGTACAGCTGCTCGATCTGCTCGGCGACGTGGCGCGTGGCTTGGGGTGCGTAGGCGCGGCGGGCGTGCTGCTGCAGCCGGTGGTTGAGCTTGTAGAGGGCGTCGTCGATGGCTTTGGGGGGCAAGGGGGCTGTTGTGGCTGGATCCTCGTTTGTCTCCTCGGGGGGGTGGTTGGTGTTGTTGGTGTTGGCGGTGTTGGTGTTGTGCCAGTCGCGGGTTGGGGTTAGCGGTTGGGAGAGGAGTCGGGTTTGGGTGGTGAGGAAGGTTTGTTTGAGTGTGAGGACTGTGGGTTGTTGGGATGGGGCCATTTTGGAGGGGGTTCCATGTGTGTTTGAGAGTGAGACTGGTCTTTTTTGATTTCCTTTTTTTCAGAGTGAGAGATGGTTGTGAGAGATGGCTATGAGAGAGAGAGAGGCCCTGGAGAGATTGAGGGGCAGTGGATGTGGAGAGGGTTCGGGTTGGGGTTTAGTTAGCTCTCTGTCCCAAGCTCACCCGCCCGCCCCCACATCAGCTTGGGGCAGCAAATTGAGGTCATCCATCTGCTGCTGCAAAAGCTGGGTTCAAAGGTCGACGTCGCCGCATCGAGACAGCCGCTTCGAACTGCGCCATTGCACCGCAATTAAATGTCTCCAAACATGCGCAGGTACGGCGAATCGCATCTCTTAATGGAGGGGCGTACCCCCCACTACCTAATAGGCCGCTAATATTGACAATGCGCAGGGCTTGTTCGACTTAGACTCCATCTCCCACCATGCGGTCGTATCTGACGCGCAATGTGTACATTCGACTGCTGGCCAACCATGGCTTGCTGCTCCCGTGCTCCTCTCCTCTACCGCGCCGCTGTTTCGCCGTCTCGTCCCGCGCCGCCCCCTCTCCGTTGCTAGTCCGCCGGCAACCCCGGAGGACCTTCTTCGGCATCTTCCAGAAGCCACCCCGCATGCTGAAGGAAGCCGACCTCGAACCCGGTTACGATGTGCTGCTGCACTACAGGAGCTTGGAGGCCGAGAATGCACGACCACCGCCACGGGAGGAATTGCTAAAGGGTTGGAGACAGTTTATTCAATACAAGAGAAAGAAACATCTCCAAGCGTTGAACTCAACACAGGCCTTCCTCACTCTGCGGCTGCTTCACCATATTGTGGAAACCAGCCCCGGCAAGCAAGACCAGGGCGAGGATCTCAGCTTCACAGATCTCCGGGCGGCGCTATGGGTCACGGTAATGAAGCCGCCAAAAGGCACGACCGAGCATCACCTCGAACTTGCGACGGTGCTCTACAACGAAATCGAGAGGAGGATACAGAACATGCGTGAGCTCGGCATCGATGAGGAGGTGATCAGGGAGGCGGTGGGAGGGAAGGACACTGGCGACTTTGAACTATTCCTCATGGCCCTCACACAGTACGGCGCTTCGCTGGAGGCCGCGGAACACTTGGCCCAGTTTAGGGCCGGGTTGCCAAAGGGAGACAATAAGTCGATTGCTCGGGTGCGGGTATTTTGGACGCTGGTGCTGCGTGGCCTCGCCAAGGAGGGTCGGGAGGCGGAGTTGCTGGCCGAGTGGGAGAAGGCCCAGGAGGCCAAAATCGAATACATGCCGCCGGTCCACGAAATCATGACGACATTTTACGCGACGCGGGATAGGATCGAGGAGACAAAACAGTGGTTTGAGAAGCCCATCCACGCGAACTGGCTGCGGAGTCCAAAGTCATATATGGAGGCGGTACGGTTCGCGCTCCGAAACGGGGAGGAGGAGTGGCTCCAGCCTATCTTTGAAGACTTGATAAATTCTAATCCCCAGAAGGAATGGTGGGACGTCATCTTCCAGTGGGCCGTGCTGGTCATGGACAAGGGCGTCGAGGACATCAAGCAGATGATACAAGTCATGTCAGCACAGCCCGGGGGCAAGGATGGCACGGGGAGCGTGAGGCCGGACGCGGCCACCATCGACGCCCTCATCACGGCAGCCATCGAGAAGCAAAATCCCTACTTCGCCGAGCGGTTCCTCTCCCTCGGCGCCGAGCTCAGGATCCGGCCCCGAGCATCTACCTACATCCTCCAAATGGACTACCGTCTCGATGCCAACGACTTCAGCGGCGTCCAGGCCATCTACGACAAGCTCCTCAAGGGCGAAGTCACCATCAGCCAGGACGAAGACCTCCCCGTCCTCAACAAATACCTCCGCGCCCTCTGCGCCGCCCCCGAACCCGACCTCGGCCGCATCCTAGACGTCACGGCGGACCTCGAGCAGCGCCACGCAACCCTAGAACCAGAAACGGTCGTCTCCCTCTGCATGGTCTTCTTGCGCAACGACAACCAATACGACGTGATCGACACGCTCTCCCTGCACACCGTCTCGTACAGCCTGGAGGAGCGAGCACAGGTGCGGCGCGCCTTTGTCGAATACTGCCTCGACCGGCGCGTCAGCACGGCGCGCGTGTGGGACTGCTACTCGCTGCTGCGCCAGTTCTTCCCGGAGACGGAGCCCGACGAGCGCGTGCGCCTCATGGACGCCTTCTTCGCCCGCAACCGCCCCGACATGGCCTGCTACATCTTCGGCCACATGCGCTCCCAGGGCAACCTGGACCAGCGCCCCACCGCCGACATGTACGTGCGCTGCCTCGAGGGCCTCGGCCGCCACCCGGAAGAAACTGGGCTCGGTGGCGGCGGCATCGCAGGCGGCGGCGGCGGTGGTGGTGGTGGGGACGGCGAGGGGGAGTCATCGCTGCGCATGGTGCACAACATGCTCAAGATGGACACGACGGTGCAGATGGACACGCGGCTGTATAACGCGCTCATGATCGCCTACGCGGCGTGCGGCGAGCCCGACGTCGCCGTCGAGTTCTGGCGCGACATCACCGACTCGGCCGAGGGTCCCTCGTACGCCAGCCTCGCCATCGTCTTCTGGGCCTGCGAGCTGCTGCCCTTTGGCGACCGCACCGCGAGGGGGGTCTGGCAGAAGGTCCAGCGCATGGACCTCGAGGTGCCGCCGGATGTGTTTTGGGCCTATTGTGGTGCTATTGCGGGGAGTGGCCACCTCGAGGAGGTGATTCGGCTGATTCGGGGTATGGATGCGAGTGTCGGGTACGGGCCGGGGATGATGACGTGAGTTTTGTTTGCTTTGGTTCTCTTCCCCTTTTCTTGTCCTCTTTTCTTTCCCGCCTCCCCCCCCCTTCACTCTCCTTTTCTCTTTCAACGTTGCTTTGGACGTGGACTAGAGAACAAAAGGGCTAACTAACCACAGACTCGGCGTCACATATAATGCCCTGCCAGGCTCGGATAGAAAGGAGCAGTTCGAGGCGTGGGCCGCCGCCGAGTACCCAGAGATCTGGGCGCAGCTGGAAAAGAAGGGACGCACCGAGACGCTCAGGGGCACTCAAGTTCAACATTGTCAGGGATATGAAAGCATGAAGCAAACAGTCTGTCAGTACTGTGTATGGAGTAGATGGGTGGTGGTGGTGGTGTGGTTGCGCTGTCGGTAGTGGGTCGATGCCCGATCCAGCTGTAAAATTTGTACAATGTATACGAAAACGTCTATACATAAGAGGCCGCTGTGCCATGCATGCCATGGTCTTTTGGCTATGCCCATATTTTGGTCACTTCCACTGATATCCTACAAATACAGCTTTTCCGGTGTGGGTTTTGGGACTCCCGAATACCTCAGCGGCTCCTCGCCTCCGCCCCCGCGGCCTGCCCCGCCAACTTATCTCTCACACTCCGCCCCCGCTCATAGCCGGTTCTGCGAAGGATCGGCCGGCGCCGGGATGGCCGCGACCGGCATGCCGTGGCGGCGGAGGCGCAGGATCTCGGGGTGCCGGTGCACGCTGGGGTGCAGGCCCATGCCGATGGCTCGCCGGACCGCCTTGGCGATCTTGCGCTGGTTGACGGGCCGCAGACCGGTGTCGTTGGAATGCCGGATCCGGCCCATGGGGGTCACGAACTCGGAGATGAGGGAGAAGTTCTGTGAGGTGTGTTAGACTTTTTGGTTGTTGCTGTCTTGTCTAGGGTGGGAAGGTGATGAGGGAAAACGCAACGCACCTTGTAGTTGTCTAGCGGGCTGAAGCCCAGGATGTCGACCATGTCCTTCTTCGGCGGCCGCCCCTGGCGCCACTTGCTCATCTCGGCGGGCTTCATGTCGCGCGGGGAGTAGACCTCGCCGATGCGCCAGCGGCGCGGCATCTGGCGCACGTAGTTGTCGGTCGTCAGGTTCTGCCGCATGTCCTTGATGTGCGCCTGCGTCCCGTGCTGCTCCATCACCCGGCGCTGCTCCTCCACCGACAGCGGGTTACCCCGTTCCATGCCCGCCGTGAGCATGCCGTGGAGGGCCTCGTTCGGGTTCGCGTTCGAGGTTGAGCGGGGGCCCCGGCTCCCTTGCGTCCCGGACGGGCTCTCACCGAAGATGTCGCGGACTGTGAGACGTGGTGTGTGGTTAGAGAGCGGCAGTAATATGCGGTAGTTTGGGTGGGATTTCAAATCAACTGACTGGCTGCGACGGGGGCTGACGTCGAGAAGAGTCGTGGTTGTTGATGTTGCACCAGGCTAGATTGGCATTGGCGCAAGGCCGAGGAGAGCCATTGCCTGCACGACATGGTTGCTGTGATTTCTCTTCGGAGGTGTCTCCTGCTGCCCTACTGCTCTGCTCTGCCCTCTCCACCTCTTTTCTCGCGACGTCGAGCTGGTTCGTGATCCTTGCGGTTGATGGCCTGGGCGGAATATTCTTTTGGCCTACCCGCATTGGCTGGCAGTGACAGAGTGGGAATCCTATCTTGGCGTTGGCCGTGGGGTTCATCTGAGGTGCAAGAGTTGCGGCAGGCAGTGGATTCAATGTGGGGCTGATATTCTTCCCCAGCAAAAATTCGAGATTGTCGCTATCAAACAGCCAAAGTCAAGGTACCAACCACATCAACCAAGTTCACAATCATCATCAATTATTTGCGGGGGAAAAAAGCCACTCCATTAATACCGACTGAGGCTGTAAACTTTTCCTTAAGTCGCCACGATGCCGCGGAAACTCAAGTTTCATGAGCAGAAGCTCCTCAAGAAGTGCGTGGGCCGAGATGAGATTCCGACGGGCTGCTCAATACATGATCAAAGTAAATCATCAAGATGCTGACAATGCGGTGTGGCTAGGCACGACTTCATCAATTACAAACAAGACAACAACCACCGAGATCATGATGTTGCAAGGTAATAATCGCACATTTCCATGCTCTCATTCCCGTGGCTAACTCGGGAATAGACGGTATATGATTCAGAAGCCAGAGGATTATGTATGTTCAACTCCATCGCCGACGAGGCGTCCGGCTGTTTCGTCACGAAGATAAACTTGTCTTCGAGCTCACGATTGTTAACCCTAAATAGCACAAGTACAACAGGATGTGTGGTGTAAGTGCCCTTGTCGAGTAATGCCAGACCCACCCACTGACCTCTTCACCAGTCTCTCCGGCAATTAGCACATCGTCTGAGTGTATGTTCACGTATCTCCTCAAGAAAAGGGGCTGCCTCATGTTAACCCATCACCAGCTTCTCCCGCCAGACAACGAGGTCAGGAGGAAACATGAGACATTGCTCCTGGACAAGCTCTACGACATGGGCATCCTTTCGGTATGTGTCTACGTGCACGAGTGCCCCTGAACAACATCCTAACCCGCTGCCGTAGTCCAAGTCAAAGCTCTCGCAGGTCGAGCACAACGTCACGGTGTCTGCCTTTGCGCGGCGGCGTTTGCCCGTGGTTATGACACGGTATGTTTGTCCAGTCCTGTCTCACCAGCCCAGGCTGCTAACCCGAGAAAAGTTTGCGCATGGCAGAGACCGTCCAGGCGGCCACGAAGCTCATAGAGCAAGGGCACGTCCGAGTCGGTGTCGAAGAAGTCCGGGACACCGCTTTCCTTGTGACGCGGAACATGGAGGACTTCGTCACCTGGACCGTCGGCAGCAAGATCAAGCAGAACATCATGAAGTACCGCGACAAGGTGGACGACTTTGAGCTTCTCTGATGGGTCCTGTCTTGGCCCCAAGTTCGAGCGGTTTACTCTCACAGAGAGCGCGGAAACCTCACAGAGATTTTGCCATGCGCTTGGTCTATGACCTCCGAAAGCGCGGCAGCGACCCCTTCTCACGATATCCCACGATGGACGTTTCAGGGGCGACGAATACGCTCGACGTAGCATACGGTTCAGTCAAAGCTGAGACGAGAAATAGGGACAGACGCCATGTTTAACATCTTTGCACACCTCAAGGTTGGCACGGAGGGCTACGGGTTTCCGGGTGGGCCATTACGAAACGTCTGAGGGAAGAACTAGCCGGCGACGCCCAGCGGGGCATCGATCGGCTTCTAAACGGCCACAGTACAGGAGAGGTATACTCATCTAAACCAATGCGTTGGCCGAGCTTACTGGCCGGGGGGTAGGAAAGTCGGGATGACTGCAGTTTTGCAATCAACGAAGTCGGTTGCTCTTTCCACGGCCTCATCTTGTTTTGGAATTTAAGGTAATTTACGACTTTGCATGCGTCATTCCTTCCTTTTCAGAAACCATGGGTCAAGCGGTCTTTTCTCACTCGTCCATATGCCAAGTTGGAGCAAATCCAGGTTCCGTGTTTGCGTACTTCATGATATCACCATCCTACAGTCGCGGCAAACAATCACCCTATGTATTCTTAAGTGCATCCATTCCCTAAACTCAACCTCAAACATCTACTTGTCTAAGTTCACGGCCTGTTGTCCTAAGTGTATCCTTCTCTTTTCAGGTCTCCAATGGTTGGCACAAGGATGGATACGATCCGCCTCCGGAAGTGGAAGAGCAAGTCCCAAGCCCCCTTACAGAAGCCCGGGATGAACGCAGAAATCCCAGTGCCCACGCGCTGCTCCTCCACCGTGTGCACATACTGGACCGACATCGACAAGATGGCCACCCAAGATGGCCCTTCGTACAGCAATACCGCAGAGGACCCGTACCTGCGAGCGTTGAAACAACTGTCGGCAAGCCACCACCCGTCCCTCGACAATCTTCCACTTGACCGGCCGACGGCCAGCGATACGGCCAACCCGAGACCACCCCACGCGTCACCTGCAGGAAACCAGGCCGAGAATACGGGACGGGAAATAGGGCGGAGGTACCACAGACGGGCGGACGGCGGTGTTGATGTGGAGTTCGTGGATGTTTCCGCCCACCAACACCATCGCCACAGCACCGTCAGCAAAGTGCGCCCGGCCATTGGCGTCCATTCTTTTCACGCCGCCTTGCACGGAGATAACGACCCCCGGCAGAGCTTCGAGATGGACCGCACTGCTCTAGCTCACCCGGCCTTCCGCAAGCAGGAGGACCGAGAGGCCCGCAGAAGGAGGTGGTCCCGATGGCACACCTTGTCCAAGACGAAAGAGCAGCCTTGGGTTGCCAACGGGCTCTTCTGAGGCCCCGGCGGCCTAGACGGAGCAACAGTCATTCCGGAACTGCATCGCTCGTCATGTAGCAGCCATTTTGGGGTTCTGCAATTCGTGACACCAGAGTGGGTTGCTCCGGGTACCCATCGGGGCGTTTTCTGATCCGAAACATACAACGCGTCCAAAATGGGAAATGTTACACGTGTGCCTGCATCAGGGGTCGGCGCAACCCCGGATGACAAGGCGGCATTCCCGCTGCGTGCCTTGCCCTTGCATGGTAAGCCTAGCGTTGACACGAAGGGCGGGCGGGGTTGGAGAACTGCGGGGACTAGAGGTATGTTCCACGCTATCCCCGGCCACGCAACCGTATATCGTATCTGTGGCAGATTTTCGGATTGACCGCCCTCGAGTTGACTTGACGTTTTACCGGATCTCTACTTCTTCGCCGCTTGTCCCCGGCCTTCCGAGGTTATCGCCGATTTTCAGCCGAGCCTTGATCATACCTGGAGTTCACGACTTTTCAATATATAAAGGGAAAGGAGGAGGGACATTATCGGTCCCCCTTCCCACATTCACTACTCGGCTCAGCCACCACCTACCCCCCAAAACATACATCTCCAGCCTCCCAAAAACGTCTCAACCAAAACCAACTTCCACCATGTTCCACCCACCCCCTCCCACAAGACCTCCTCACACTCAGCCCAAACCGACGCCATTCACCTCTCTCCCCACCAACCAACTAGACGACATCTACGCCAAACCGCCCCTTCGTCCCCATCCCGGACACCTTCAACGCACGCGAACTGGGCCTCCTCCCCGGCTCGCCCATCCGCCCGGGCCTGGTCTACCGCACGGGCGGCTTCCTTGGCGGCATCTCGCCCGCGGGCGCCGCGGCGCTCGCCACGGACCTGCGCATTAAGAAAGGTCTTTGAACCTGCGCTCGGCGCGCGAGCACGCGCGGCAGCCGGATCCGGAAGGTGCACGGCGTGGAGATGGTCTGGGTGGCGCCGGGGGAGGGCGGGATTGTGGATATGGGGGTTGTATGAGGAGGGGGAGGGGGAGAGGGGGATTGTGAAGGCGTATATGGATGTGCTGGGGTTGTATAAGGGGGCGATTCGGGGGGTGTTGGAACAGGTGAGGGATGGGAGGGGCGAGGAGGCGGTGCTGTTTCATTGTAATGGTGAGTCTTGAGTTTGGCTGTTTGTTTGTCTATCTCTTTGTGGAGGTTCGGGGCTTGGTGGGTGAAGCTTGGGCGTGGAACTGAGTTATTGGCTAACTGGTGGTGTGGTAGCTGGGCGTGACCGGACCGGTGTCGTGGCCGGGTTGTTGCTGACGCTGGCGGGCGCGAGCGAGGAGCTGATCGTGTTCGACTACATGTTGTCGCGCATCGGGATCGAGCCGGCTCGCGAGAAGCTGCTGGAGTCGCTCACCAAGGGGCTGATGAACGTCGATATCAACGCGCCTGGCTTCCGCAACTTGGCGAACCTCAGGGCGAGCTGCTGGGAGGCCTTTGTCAAGGCCGTCGAGGCCGAGTATGGCGGGTTTGAGGGCTATATCACGGGGTTCTTGGGGTTCACGGAGGAGGAGCTCGCAAAGATCAAGAGTAACCTCATTCGGCAGGACTGAGAGTTTGTGTTGGTCAGGACTAGGAAATTCAGCCTTCAGTGCTTCCTAAGCCTCCCTCGATTATTGAAGCAAGTTTCGTGGGATCTGTTGCAAGTTTGAGCTCAGCCGTCGTCAGTTGGCAGTCCTCAGCTCTAAGTTCATACTGTCATCGGCCGTCCATATCCCACATCTAACGAACGCCTAGAAAGCCGAGTTGGCAGACGAAAAAGAAAATGGCGTCACGAGTAGATCAAGCCTTCAATGGACACCAATACCTGTGACGTCATCTTTTATGGGCCGCCTTTTGTCGTTGCTGATTGGTTATGCGGGTGTCGGAGTTCGAAATTAGGTAGGGTAACATTTTGAAGTCGCAACACCATCATGGCTCGTCTTTTCGTGTGTGATGTCATGGTTGACGTGACTAGAAGAGATATCAAGATCTCCATGGTTTTATCGAGCATGTAGGATGTATATAAGTTGAGGCTTGGTTCGGCCATTAAGCTCTTGTAATTTATCATGCAATTCAAACAAACAATTCACACATTGACTTGAATACTACCTACCTAAGTTGGCTCTCAACCTCTTACACGCCATAACCAATCTTTTAAAAACAAACCTACCTCAACACCAACCATAAACCGAACCACCAAAATGCATCGTTTCTCCCGCCGCGGTCCCGTCACCACAACCACGACCCGCCCCCACCACACCACCGGAGGCGGCCTCTTCTCACGCCGTCACGCCGGCCACCACACAACCACCGTCCCAGCCACCACCACCCGCACCCACCGCCGTGGAGGCCGCGGTATGGGGATGCGGATGGGCATGGGAAGGAGTACGGGAGGAGCCCGCGTCAAGCGCGGTGGCCTCTTCTCTAGCGGCCGTCACCACCATCATACTACTGCCGCTGCGCCCGTGACGACGACACATCACCACCATCAGAAGAGGCATGCCTCGATTGGGGACAAGATCAGCGGGGCGCTGCTGCGGTTGAAGGGGAGTTTTACGGGGAGGCCGGGGCAGAAGGTACGTCTTCTTTGAGGCGGGGTTGGACGGGTGAGAATGATAGCTGACATTGGGTTTTAGGGTGCTGGCACAAAGAGGATGCATGGAACCGACGGGCGTGGGGCTCGTCGCTCGAGGTTCTTTTAAGGGGCTAACTGGAAAAGAAGTATGGGTAGCCCGGGGGGGGGGAGCACGCTGTCTGATTAATGAGGGATGAGTTGTAATATTATGGCCATGATAGAAGGGATGGGCAGTTGTAGTTGTACATCACATTTAACGAGATACCCGAAATCACAAGAATGGAAGCATCCATACACACTGCACCTTGAGACATCTCATCCATTACAACGCCCCATGCGCATGGTATATAAACCTACAATAAAAAACAAACGCCCCGGGTCCCAACCCGCCGTAAAAATGCAACCAGGGTATCACTCAACCGGCGCCGAAACAACAAACACAAAAACAAAAAAGAGAAGCCCGCCGCCTCCGCCACCCACCCGCCCCCCATTCGGATCCTCTTGCCCCGTTGCGGGAAGAAACCACGGACCTGCCAAACCCCAATCCAAAGTTGTTGTGCTTGGCCCCGAATGGGGGTGGTGGCGACGAAGGGGTTGGGCATTATAATTAAGAAAAAAAAAAAAAAAACCGAAAACCGAAGGGGCGAGCCCCCAGCACAAACCCGCCGCCTACAGCGCGCCGGGCATCACTGTCCCCTCCTCCCCCTCGCCCTCCCCCCGTTCGCCATCTTCCTCGCCCTCGGAGGCGGCCCGGTCCCGAACAAGCGGGACCGGCCCCCCCTCCGAGGCACCCTCCTCCCCAGACCCCGCAGAGGGCCCGGCAGACGCCTCCTCTCTCCGCCACCCCCGCGGCCGCAAGCCGGGGGAACCGGTCCCACAGCTGCCTGGTGCAGCGCAGCCGAGGTTCGGCGGGCGCCGGTGTCGGGTGACGCTTTCCAGCTGCCCACCCACACCACCCACGCTCCCAACCGACCCCCTCGCTCGCACCGGCAGCGTTGCACCCGCACTCTCACCTGGCGCCCACGGCGCCCAACACCCCCCGCAGCTCTCCTCCTCCCTCTCCCCTCTTCTTCCTCGGGCCCCGCCCCATCCTCCTCCCACCACGGCAACTCTTCCTCTCCCTCCCCTCCCTCCTTCCTCTCCTCCTCCTCCGCCCACACCCACCCCCGCCGCCGCCCGCTACTCACCCACCGCAGCGACAGCGCCAACCGCGGCACGACACCAGCGACTCTCTCGACGGCACCAGACCCCCCCTCGTCAGCAGCACCAGCAACGACAGCACCAGCGACGTTGTCGGCGGCGGTAGGCGTGGTGGTGTTGGTGGCGGCTGCCGCAGCGGCGCCGACGTGCAGCTCTCCGCATCTTGGTTCCGAGCCCGCGTCGGCACAGGGGCGAGCGTGTCGTTGCTCGGGACGGGCGCTGGGCACCGGGTTCCAAGTGGAAATTTTCTTCCTTCGGACGGGCGCGGACCGCCCTTGAGAGAATGACCCCGATGTGGCCGTTCTGGCGTTAGTGGTGGTTGCGGTGCCGGTGGTGGTGGTCCGGGGGCCTTGTCGGGCTTTCTTGGGCAGCGACGCCGGCACCGGCAGCAGCGGAGCTGTGGCGGGGGAGGTGGGAGGTGGGGTGCCGCGACGGCGTGGAGGCGGCGGCGGGGGCGTCCGGCAGGAGCGAGTCGTGGTTGCTCGCCATGACCCGTTCCGTTTGGAACGGGTCGGCCGTGGGCCCCGACAAAAGGGCGCCCGCGGACTTGGTGGTGCGGAGCCGGGTCTCGAACGCCGTGGGCGCCCGGGTGGCGCCGCGCGAGGACGACTCCGCAAAGGGATCCTCGGCCGAGGACGGCGGCGATCGGGCGGGGTCGGAGGCGGGGACGGCGCCGAACTGCGGGGTCTCTCCCAGCACCTGCAGGGCCTTCTCCCGCTTCTGCACGTTGATGCGCTCGTTTTGGCGCAGGCGGGGGCTGGGGACGCGTGGGATCTCGTCGGGGGTGGGCAGCGGCTCCAGGCTCACGACGTGCCGGATCTGGTGCGGCTTGATGGGCTGCTTGGGCTTGCTCTTGGAGAACAAGCGGGTGGGGGATGTGAGCTTCTTGTAGAAGCTTGACTCCAGAAGGTGCGAAAACTTGAAACCCTCGGGCTCTGGCTTCAGCTCCTTGTTGGCGGCAAGCATCTTCTCGACCTTTGCCATGACCTCCCTTCCATGCGGGGTAAACGGGTTGCCGTCGAAGCGCAAACCCGGGGGGTTATCTGTGGCCGTTGCGGCCGGCGATGTTGAAGAGTTGGTGAGGCCGGTGGGGTGCATTCGGAGAGGGTCGATCGGCACATGGAAGGCCTCGACTGGTCCCGTCAGTGAGAGGGGGAGGTTCCCGGGACCAAATGGGCGGCGAGATTTAGAGGAGCTACGCCGATGGGAGGAGGCACGCCGGTTGCTCTGCCGTGAGGGCCTCGGGACCTCGAGAAAGTTGCGGTCGGAAGGGGGAATGGGGCGCCCTCTCTGGGCCAGGTGATGGGCAATTGGAGAGATCTCATCGCTGTTGTTGGCTGGCTGAATGACGATCTGGGGAATGGCGATTTGGGCCTCAGGACTTCCTGGGCCGTGAGCTGACGTGCTGGTGGTTGACTCACTATTTGAGTCGCCGGGGGTCGTGCCCACCATCTCACCGCCAGTCTGTTGGCCTTTTGGGTCGGTCATGGTATTTGACGACGATGATTAAAAGGAACAGATTGGGCTATTAGATTCAGTTGTTCAGATTCAGTTGTTCAGAATCGAGTCAGGGACTTGAAAGAGAGTCACTCAGGTATCGCTGAGTTTGGAAATGTCGCCGATTTTGAGAGGATGTCGCTGGCCTGGGAGATTCTGCAGATGTTGAACTGGATTTTGTTCTTGTTGGTAGTATTTCGCTGATACTCAGAGGTTTCGCTGATGTTGGGTATGATCTCGCTGATGTGCAAATATTCGCTCCTATCAAGCGTGCTTTTCGCTGATGTTGTGCGTCTCTCTGATGTTACTTTTCGCTGATGTGCTTTTCGCTGATGTTGAAGGAAAGTGGGTGAACGAGGAGAAAGAGGTTCAGGTGGGGACGAAAGAGTGTGTTATCACCACATCGACAGTCTAGAATGAAAGAATGAAGTTATCAGACGAAGAACAGGTGATGTGATGTCACGATTTAGAAACGAAGAGAGAGCCACGTTGCTGATGACGTTCTGGTTCACTGAAGGAAAAGAGAGTGGTTTGTTATGGCGACGACGATTGTGAAAAGTATGGTGGGGGTTGACCTTTGAGTAGTGTAGGCTACAGGTGATCCGGAGGGAAGTCGTGTCTTCGGCGGCCAATAACGGAAGCCGAAGAAACCGGAGGCCGGCAGCTGTGACCCGCTTTTCCGGACCGTGACCGGGCCGACCACCCCGGCGTGCCTCGCCCCTCCGGTTTGCTAGGCTTTTGGCGGTTCTGGGCTGAGCTCACAGTGCCAGGTTTGAGAATCGCGCATTGCAGTGCCTTGATCTTTCCCGCAAAAGCCAGGCACAACTCACACAGCCTCCTAACGTTATTAGGACTTTGAATTGACCAAAAACTTTCCTTCTTCTCACTTGTGATCCCACCACGAGACGCAAAGCCTCAACCATGGATGTTCGGGTAGCGGAGTGGGATGGAACAAAGAGACCCAACGTGCACAATAACCTCTCTTTGAATGACTGATATTGAGCACAATTTCCCTCATAGGGCCTATTTGGTGGTGGTGTAATTGGATGAGTAGTGTAGCTGCCATGGACGCTCAAGGGATTCAAGAGTCGGCATTATTCTAAGTGATTTGTGCGACTGAGCAAATTTTATCATTGCAGTCAACATGATAGTATAACTGTGGAAGGAGACACCGCCCAGGGCCCAGGGCCCTCTTTTTGAGTTATTGATGAGTGTTGGCCTGTGAAGCCTGAGGTTGTGGCTGCCATCGGGCAGGAACCACTTAACCATGGACCATGGACCTTGAGGGTTCTAGAGTAATAACCAAGTGGTAAGCAAAATTATGCGCATTTTGCTCTGAGATGATGATGCAATTAAATGGCATTCAATTCCTAGTAGTGGAGAAGTCACCTGCTGGTGTTTGCAAGTTCAAGTGTGATCTGATCTGGAGAGTGACGAACAACCCCTTAAAACACATGTTAGTAAACAATTCTTTTAGCTAACTAACTCACTAACTAGTTACCGGGCAACGAGGCTTAACTAGCTAACGTAATCTATCACCTTTCCGGCCACACCACCTTTCCAACCACTTTCCAGCTCCGCACCCCACCACGTCCACTTTGGATGCACCTTACCATGCCATCGTACCCAGCAAAATGCCAAAGCCTCTGCAGCACGAAGAACGGATCCAATCAGCGGTCGAGGCCTTACGTTCAGGCGAAACCCAAAGCATTCGCAAAGCTGCGGCTGCATTTGATGTACCAAGGGCGACTCTGCAAGAACGCGTCAAAGGGGGTGCTACGCGTCAACAAGCGCAAGTCAAGAACCGAAAGCTACACCCAACTGAAGAAGCAGCCTTGATTCAATGGATCGAGTCAATCAATGGATCGAGTCACTGGACGACCGTGGTATGTCGCCAACGATCAGCTACATTCGACAAATGGCCGATCTTCTTCTCCGCGAGCGTGGAAACTTGATGTTGCTCGACGCGTCTATCGCAACTACCCCGGTCCCTGCAATGACTGTTGGCGAGAACTGGGTTCATCGGCTTCTTGATCGGCATCCCCATTTGAAGACGAAGTATTCAAGAAAGTATGACTATCAGCGAGCCTTATGCGAAGACCCAGAGAAGATTTCAGCGTGGTTTGCACGGGTGCAAAAGACGATCAACGAGTACGGAGTCCTCGACGTGGATATCTACAACTTTGACGAGACCGGCTTCCAGATGGGTGTTGCAAGTACATCTAAAGTGGTTACTCGGTCTGACCGACGGAACCGACCTGTTGTTATTCAGCCAGGGAACCGAGAGTGGACGACAGTCATTGAATGCATCAACGCAACTGGTTGGGCACTTGATCCATTGATTATCTTCGAAGGCGAAGTCCACATTTCAACGTGGTACGAAGGCTCACTCTTGCCGAAGACATGGCGGATTGGAGTTAGCGATAACGGCTGGACAACCGATCAGCTTACTTTCGAGTGGCTTCGAGAGGTCTTCGAGCCACAAACTCGAAACCGAACGGTTGGTCGATATCGGCTTCTTATTCTCGATGGTCATGGAAGTCATTCGACGCCTGAATTCGACAAATTCTGTACTGAGCATCGGATCCTTACAGAGTGCATGCCTCCGCACTCGTCGCACCACCTCCAGCCTCTTGACGTCAGCTGTTTCTCTGTGCTGAAGCGAACGTACGGCGACCTTGTCAAAGCGATGATAGCACTCGGGGTTTATCACATCGACAAACCAAGGTTCCTCGAACTGTTTCTTGAAGCTCGGAAAAAGACGTTCAGCACAAGGAACATCGTAAGTGGCTTTAGGGCTACAGGGCTCGTACCTCTCGATCCAACTCAGGTTCTTTGTCGGCTACAAACCAGGATACGGACACCGAGCCCCCCTCCTACCCCTATCCAACTGCCAAGTCTGCCTCTCAAAGCGCCAGTAAACATAGTCGAGCTTGACCCTCTCCAGAGGAAACGCCAGAGAGAGATAAGCCCAACAGATCAGGCGCTTCAGAAAATCATCAAGGGCTGCCAGATGGCGATTCACAACGCTACTCTTTTGCAGGAAGAGAACTCGCGACTTCGAGCTGAAAATGGTCGACAAAAGAGAAAGCGGGCACGCCGAGCTTTTATCCAGGCAGGAGGGACTATGACGATTGGAGAAGGGATGACACACATCGAGGCCTTCCAGAAAGCTCCTGAGAAGGGCCAAAGAAGCCAGGAAGCTCGTCGAGAGGTCGAAGAAGGAGAAGCGGGGCCATCGGAAACGACTGCGCCAAAGGCGCGAAAGCGTGCGCAGGCAAAGTGTAGTATCTGCGGCTCAATCGAACACAACGCCAGGAAATGCCCATGTAAATAAGGACTTGAATTACATAGATTGTATTTCGAATAGACTCTCTTTTGCGTTGTGGGGTGTTTCCAAAGTCGACGTGGTGTGTTGCGGGGCTGGAAAGTGGCCGGAAAGGTGATAGATTACGGTATCTCAGGGCCCTGGGCCTGGGTGACAGTCATCCGGGCGCCAAGGGATGACAATACGATGCTGCGCCCGACCCCGGCTCCCGCGCGTTCGGCTGACCTGAAATTTCACCCCAGGGTCGCCCGGATGACCAGCGAATCGAGCAGCCACAAGCGGTTTTCCTTAGGGCTAGCCGTACTAGCGCTGAAGTCTCTCCCTGCCTGACCACCCTGCCCCCCCGGCGCGCGCGCGCGCGTCGCGGGCCAGGCTGGTAACGGTAAGAAACACCAAGGCCAAGCCAACCGCGCCGGCCATCGTCAACGTCATTCTATCACTAACCACGACACATCGTCGAGATACGTCAGGATCCGCAGGATGGACGAGCTTGATCCTAGCCTAGTTCAGCGCGTTGGCAGAAAGATCTCGGCCGTCGTCGAGAGGTATCTGCTTGACGATCAGGAGGTCACGCCTAAGAACACCCGCAAGGCATATGGACCAAAGCAGGCCGAGTGGATGGTCAGTCAGCTAGTCTAAGCAGGCCGGCTATTACGGAACCTTGGCAGCTAACAGGGCATATAATAAATATAGGAATGGTGCAAGTCTCGCTTCCCCGAGATCCCCCCTGGTTGGCCGGCGCAGTACCAGATAGGTAGAGCCCTACCTGGCCACCTTGTTGACGAGGGTAAGCTGGTGCTCTTCCTTGACGAAGAGATCGCCTCCCGCGCTCCCAAGCGCGGCAAGCGTCGTATGGCCGAGACGCAACGGTTCAAGGCGGAAGGGAAGCTCAAGAAGCGGAAGAGGGAGAGCCCATTGCCGCCGTCGTCAACTGGAGCAGCTACGGCCGACGTAATTGTCGTCGGCGGGGGTCCAGCTGAGGATCTGGAGTCGAACTCGGACTCGGACGTTGGCAAACCTGGTCCGGACTCGGCCGTCCGCACCTCTACACTCAAACTGCAGTATAGCACTGTACGGCTATACTCCAGCGCTATCATCAACCTCTACGCACAGCAAAAGACCAGAGGCGAGAACCCAGCTCCGCCCCCCAATGGCCTAGCAAAGAAGGCGCTTATGCGGCATATCCTCCGTGAGGCCGCTTGCCGGAGCCGCAATGAGTGGGCAGACCGTCTCCTAAACACCATCAAGGACGGCTATTTGCCGGCCAAGATCCCCGAGCATACGGCAGCGGCCTGGCGGTTCAGCGATGTCAATAGCGGCTTCCGTACGAACGTCGACTTCCTTTTCGGCAACCACATGCTCTTGCGGTCGAGCAACAGGCTACTGCTCGAGCTAGCCGACTGTTTTTGCCTGGATTTACCAAAGGAGGGTATCAAGACGGATGCCCCGACGAAGGCCTTTGTCGTTCTGATGAACCAGGGGAAGACGAACCAGCACGGCCAGGTTGAATACGGCTCTTGTCTACGGCATCGCGATCCGGAGGCTTGCCTTATCGGCCAGCTTGCCTTCTGGCTTTTCTTCCGTTGGCAGGCCGAGAAGATTGCCGCCGAGCCGTTCCCGGATTTCAGCCGGCCGGAGCTGTGGTACCGGACGAAGGTCCTGCGCCGGAGCAAGGCTGACTATACGGGGCAGCTGTCGTACGCAACAGCCCACAAGTGGACCTTGGACTTCTACAGCATGTGTGGTATCACCACGAGCAAGGCTACCCACGCGCCGAGAGTGGCAGCGGCGCAAAATGCCGATATGGCGGGAGTGTCGGACGCGCAGGTAAGACGATAGCTATATACCGGTTTGCTTGAAGGTAACCGTACGCTAGTGTTCTTACCAACTCTCATTAGATCCGACGCGCCGGCCGGTGGGAGAACGGCGACCAGATGACTGGCTGTTATATAACGACGCTACCGTTCGAGTTCATGCGCGCCACTGCGGACTTCGAGCCTGCGTGGGCCGGCAGCTACCACGTGCCAAGGGCAACAGTGCAGCCAGAGCCGTGGTTGCGCTCACAGATCTGGCCGGATCTAGATCGTTGGCGTGATTTCGAGGCTGACGACAAGGCTACAGGCGCGTTCATCGAGTTGTTACACTGGCTGCGGGACGTCCTGTTGCAGGATGCTGTGTTCTTGATAGCCAAGTACCCGGGGCACCCCGTCTTCCAAGATCCAGTATTCTGGTCGCCCCAGTTCAACGCCTTTGCTACCAAGGTCAGGGAGGCCGTTCAAGAGAGCTTCTAGGGCGACCGCGGCACAGCCATCGAGAAGGTGATCCCCGAGGTCTCGGAGAAGCTAAAAAGCTTAACAGCTTATCAGCTTACCGTCGAGAAGGCGGTGGAGAGGAGGCACTTGGAGTTAGTTCAGGAGGTCAAGCAGTTGAAGGCCCAGGTTGCCGATATGTGTCGGATGGAGTACCAAGTCGTTACCACCTTTACCCCCAGTGGGCGGCTACACCGTACCGAGCAGTTCGTACGCCAGCAGGGCCACAAGGCCTCTATATCGCCGCCCGGGGTACCGAACCGAAGGCCGATGACGCCGTTGGCCGGACCTCCGCTTAGCACCGTCTCTCGGCTCGACTGTGGAGCTGATTCAACGCCGGCCACCTATATAGGAGCAGCTGCTAGCTCCAGCCCTGCGGTACTTGGTGCGCCGGCTATAACGGTCGCGCGGCAGGGCCCGCCGCAGATCCGGTTCCCGCGTATGCTTCGTACGGTGGGGGACCTCTATCAGCTCTGGCGCCATGGGCTCGCAATGATGCCCTCTATTGACGAGCTCGAGAGGCAGTGGGGCTCGCGATGGCGCCTGCGCAACGAGAGGCAGCTCTTCTCCATGCGGAAGGTCGTTATGGATGAGGTCGTACGGCTTGCCAGTGCTCGAGGGTGGCCAGAGGAGGACGCGGTCCGGGAAGTCGAGAAGCAGCGCGTTGAGGCCGGCAACCTCTCGCTAGATGCCTTGGCAAAGCATATAAAGGCTAGACGATAGTCGTACGAAGCTGGCTTCCATACGAGACTAATATACAGCAACAAGGCTTATTTCTCTTCTCTCGTACGGCAGCTACTGAGCTCCTAGGCTTTTCCTCCGTCTGACCAGACGAACGCTCCAATCTATTCCTTCTTGCGGGTTTGTTGAACCACTATAAAGCACTGTAGAAGCGCCTGTCCATCTGTCCATCCGGATGATAGCCATGCTGTTACCCCAACCCCTGAAGGTCGACCGACAGTACTAACCCTAACCCTTATGGCGCTTTTACCCCTGAAAGGGCGCAAGCTTCTCCACTTTCAAATTATGTCAGCAGCCTGCCAATTGCCCTTTGAAATGTCAAGGTCTTGATTGGCGAATGCGAATACGCAAAAGCGTATCCGTGCTCGAAGTGGGTCACCCCGCAAACTCCCGAGGCTGGCTGGGGGCAATTGTCACCTTTTTCGGCTTCGCTCTTCGCGTTGAACCGGCTCCTCGAAAGTTGATTAAAGGGCGAATTTCCAACAGCCTCGGGGGATTTCGATTCACTGCTTCAATCCTTTACTCTGGGTGATACAGGGGCCAATTGCGACAGTGTTGCAGCGGTCCTTTCACGAAAGTACTGTGTAGAAAGAATCTGAAGAGCGGCCCATTGCGCAATCCCACAACCAAACCACGGACCATCATCCGCCGGCATCTGCGAGATTTCTCCGACTCCGTCTTCCTTCAAATTTGAGCCGACTTACGAACACGTTGTCGGCCGGCTCTCTCTCTCAGAGCCAACCTTTCCCACGCCCATCCGAACATTCTCTCGTACCTCGAACAACATGTCGTTCTCTAGCCTCGTCCACGACCTCTCACTGCGCGACACGGGCGCACCAAGGAGGCGCGGCGACGCCTCGGTGTCTACAGTCGACGACCGCGCGTCCCGCATCTCGACGGCGAAGTCATACACGAGCACGGCTGCTACGAGTGTGAGCATCTCCGGGGACATCAGCAGCCAACTCCACGCCGGCTACAGCCACCCGCTCGCGAGGTCATGGCAGGCCGAGCGACAACTCACCAAGGTGGGCAACAAATGCCGTCTACATGGGACTAACTACCCCGCTAACACGGCCCCGTAGTCGATGCTCATCTACCCTCTATTCATCTCGGACCAGGATGACGAGGAGGTCCTCATTCCTTCCCTACCAGGGCAATGCCGCCGCGGAATCAACAAGTTGGTACCTTTCCTCGAGCCCCTCGTCCACAAGGGGCTGCGGTCCGTCATCCTCTTCGGCGTGCCGGTAGCGCCAGGCGTGAAAGACGCATTGGGAACGGCCGCCGACGATCCGGAAGGCCCGGTTATCCGCAGCATCCGGCTCCTGCGACAGCGGTTCCCGCACCTGTACATCGTCTGTGACGTCTGCCTCTGCGAGTACACCTCCCACGGGCACTGCGGCATTCTCCGCGATGACGGAAGTCTCAACAACCAACTCTCAGTCGACCGCATCTCAGACGTGGCCATCGCGTACGCGCGCGCGGGCGCCCACTGCGTCGCGCCGTCCGACATGAACGACGGGCGGATCCGCGCCATCAAGCTCAAGCTGATCGAGGAGGGCATCGCGCACAACGTCACGCTGATGTCGTACGCCGCCAAGTTCTCCGGGTGTCTGTACGGGCCGTTCCGCGACGCCGCTGGCTCGGTGCCCTCGTTCGGCGACCGCAAGTGCTACCAGCTGCCCCCCGGCGGCCGGGGCCTGGCGCGCCGCGCCATCGTGCGCGACATCAACGAGGGCGCCGACATCATCATGGTCAAGCCCGCCGGCCAGTACCTGGATATTATTGCTGATGCCAAGGAGCTGGGCAGGGACCTGCCCATTGCTGCGTACCAGGTCAGCGGCGAGTTTGCCATGATCCATGCTGGTGCCAAGGCCGGCGTGTTTGACCTCAAGGCCATGGCCTTTGAAAGCACCGAGGGTATCCTCCGGGCGGGTGCGACTATCATCGTCAGCTATTTTGTCCCGGAGTTCCTGGACTGGCTGTCCGACTGATGGGTTTGGGTGATGTGGGCGTGGTGTTTGGGCGTTTTGGGAGCGGGATGCAATGACAATGTGGATTGGGTTTCCCCGCATATGTGTTATAGACATGACTCTCCGCTAGACCACACCGGCTGGATGGGCCGGCCGGTTGTGCAGACGTTTTATATTTTTATGGTTTCTCCGTCTTCCCCAGGCCCATCATGAAACACAAGGTGTGGCCACGTAAAGGCGGCCATTGTTTTCCATGGATGCTTGCTTCTAAACATTAGATGAGCGAACGTTGGTCATTAACGAATAAACGGTTCCGGTTTCTATGGACTTTCCTGTTCCCGGGAAAATCCTGAAACGGCAATCGCCTGAAGGCTTCCAAGCAGCCGGTGGCAGCACGAATTGCAAATGCGATCACGGAAACCAAGTAGGGGTAAGTGGCGGCCATCTGGTCCGGGCCGTGGCCAAGTGGGCCGCCCGGCCCGATTTCCGATCCAACATCGAACCGCTTGGGTCAAGACGGCGGCCGTTGGTTTAAGCTTCACTGAAGACGCCGCCTGCGCCGCTGCAGGTGATCCGGGGCCCCGGGGTCGAATGGAATCCTAGAATGAGCCGAAATCATTGCAAATGTGACAGTATGCACCGCTGAAACGAGCAAAAAAAAAAAGAAACAAGTCATGTCGGAGCCATCCTCGAAATGTTTGAAGATGGCTCTTGTTCTGGCAACGATTGTCATCGGACTTTGGCAATAGCCTGCCTCGGGACTTGGCCCTTTCTCAAATCGATTGATCACCGGCCGCCATGGAACTGGGCCACACTTGAATAGACCGCAGAGACGGCCTACATTTGCGGCACCGCGCTTCAGATCTCCCCGGAATTCTGAAGGCCGCCCAGGAGATATCGGCCGGCCATGCAAGCTGAAGGTGCTGATATATGGGGTTTTGTTACTGGAAAGGGGCGGCCGGGCCATGGCCTGTTCAATTAGCTTAGGTCTCCGTTCTATCTTTGCTAGTTTGAACCTTTATAATCGATCCCCTTGAGAACGCACCGGCAGGTTAAGGTGTGTTGAGGATCCCGTACCTGCCCTTGCACGCTTTGTATCAAGTTCTTCGCCGTGTAAACACAGACACGACGATCTAACCTACATGGCCTTGAGTTGGCCACCTCCCAGGCCTCTCTCTTGTCGTCTCTTCTCGGTTCTTTGCCGTGGGAAGATCTAGTTACGGACCGTCGGCCCCTCGACTTTTTTTTCTTTCGTATCCCCGTTTCCTTTTTTGGATATCCCCCTTGAGGTTTGAACCACCGAACCAAGCGCTCGTTCCTTATTTCCATATCTCGCCCCGAAGCCATGAACGGGCATGCCACCTCCACCTGGGGCCTCGCCCACGACGAGGAAAAGGCGAGCTTTCTAAACGACAAACCCCCACCCGACATCGAGCGCGATGCCAGACACGCAGACGTGACCTCCTGCTTCCCAACCATCACATACCCCCCTCGACAGTGGACGACAGTAACCCTCCCCTCCCGGGCCGCCCACCGGGCACTTACCCACCTGCCCCCCCTCCTCCGCCGTACCCTCTTCTTCCTCCTCCCGAGCTTCATCCAACCATTTCTCTCCCGCCAGCGCTACCACCACCACAAGAACAACCCCCCTTTACCCCCGCGTCCGACAACTCCCCAGCCGGGCCCAACAGCCTACCTCGACGGCATGCGCGGCCTGGCCGCCCTCATCGTCTTCTTCTGCCACTTCCTGTACACCAGCTTCGCCATCGCGCCCGGGTACGGCGCCGGGAGCGTTACTACTGCTGCTACCACCACACCCACCGGTAACCACAACGACTCCAACAACCCCAAACCCGCCAACCACCATTACCACCTCCCCCTTCTCCCCTTCATCCGCCTCCTCTTCTCCGGCCCGCCCATGGTCTGCGTCTTCTTCATCATATCCGGCTACGCCCTCAGCCTACGCCCCCTCACACACGCAGCCACCACCACCACCACCACAACCACCACCCCCACCACCACCCAAACCGCCCACACCGCCCTCACCTCCCTCATCTTCCGCCGCGCCCCGCGGCTCTTCCTCCCCGCCTTCGCCTCCACCCTCCTCATCACCCTGCTCGTCGCCTCGGGCGTGTACGAGCGCACGCGGGCCGTGGCCGCCGACCCGGCGCTGCTGCGCAACGTGCGCGAGCCGCATGTGGGGTTTGACGTTACTGATAACGACGGTGGTGGTGGTGGTGGTGGGGGAGGGTCGGTGTTCGCGCTGGCGGTGTGGGCGTGGGCGGGGGAGATGGCCCGGTTTGTGCACGTGTGGGACTGGCGGGAGTTTGGGGGGAGTACCGTGCTGGATGTGCATCTGTGGACGGTGCCGGTGGAGTTTCGGTGTTCGATGGTGCTGTTTTTGACCTTGGCGGGGACGTTGGGGCTGAGGAGGGGGTGGCGGTTGGGGGTGGTGGCGGGGTTGGTGGTGTTTGTGTATTGCAGTAAGAGGTGGGAGATGGTGTTGTTTTATGCGGGGCTGGTGTTGGCCGAGTTGGATGCTGCGAGGGGGGCGCATGGGCATGCACCGGCTCTGCCTGTGTCTGTGCCTGTGCCGGGGTTGATGTCGGGGCCGAGCAGCCGGGCTAGCTCGCCGTCGCCGTCGGGTCTGAAACGGCGCACTGCGAAACGTGTTATGTGGGCGGCTCTGAGTATCGTTGGGCTGTTCCTCATGTCTCAGCCGGATGAGCGCGGCGCCGAGACTCCCGGGTGGGTGTTACTCACGAGCTTGATCCCGGAGTGGTGGACGGACGAGCACAGGTACTGGCAGAGCGCTGGCGCCATCTTGTTCGTGCTGGCCGTGGGGAGGTCGAGGGGGTGGCAGCGCTTCTTTAACCTGTCCGTGCCGCAGTACTTTGGGAAGATCAGCTATGCCATCTACTTGATGCATGGGCCCGTGATACACACGGTGGGGTATGCCATCGAAGGATGGGCTTGGGGGTTGACAGGGACGGAGGGAAGGGCATACGAAGCGGGCTTTGCGCTGGCGGCTGTGTTTGTGGTGCCGATTGTGATTTGGGTGTCGGATGTGTTCTGGCGGGCTGTCGACGCCCCTATTGTGAGGTTCGCGAAGTGGCTGGAAGCAACGTGCTCAAAATCTAATTAGACAATGTTAATGGAAGGTTGTTTCTTAGTGAGATCATAAGGAAGCGGTGCCGATATCAGAGTAGAATAACCATCCCCCTGCCATTGTCGGAGTATATCTCTGATCCTCGTTGCCGTCTCGAAACACAACGACTGATGTGTTCTACCAACCTACCCTTCTCCAGCTCCCCCTGGCTACCTTGTATTCTACGTCATGTCGTCATGTCCCATGAGCTCAATGGAGCCTGTATGTAACAACGCGCTGCCACTGTATTTGTTCTTTTTACCAGATATTACCGAGGGCACTGGCTATACCCTCCACTGAGAGCTCTGTTTTTTCTCCACTGGGAGATATCTCTCCCTCAAGGTCTCTTCCACGCTCTTCTTCAGCTGCTCCTCTCGCCGCGCACTGTCATACCTCTCGGCCAGTGCCTTTTCAATATCCGAGACATGCAGCAACTTCGCGTCTGCCTTTGCCTCAGCCCTCTCTTCGGCCAGGTGGACAGCCGCCTTTGTCCTCCCCACAAGATCATGAACCCTCTCAACACCACTCTGAAACAACAAAAAAAAAAAAAAAAGAAAAGAAAGAAGAAAAAAAAAAAAAAAAAAAAAAAAAAAAAAAAAAAAAAAA